GCCGGGGAGGCAGGGACAGCTTGGCAAGGTCTCTCAAGGTCTGTCTCTATCTCTCTCTCTCTCTCTCTCTCTCTCTCTCTCTCTCTGACTCTCTCTCCCTCTCTCTCTCTTGTCTCTCTCTCTCTCTCTCTCTCTTATCCCTCTCTCTGTTGCCTCTCTCTTTCTCTCTCGTCTCTCTCTCTCTCTCTTGTCTCCCTCTTCTTTTCTGTCTCTGTGTCTCTCTATCTCTCTCCGTGTATCTTTGTCTTTCCGTCTCTGCCTGTGTTTCTTTGTCTCTGTCTCTCTGTGTCTCTGTTTCTCAGAATGCTTCAACACGGTTTGCCTTCAACCGCCAAATACTGGTAAGCCATCCAGGAGCCCACCTCTATGGGATGTTCTGGCTCGAGTGGCAAGCAGAAAGTTGAGGCCACCTGAAGTTGTGGTGCTGTTGTCATTGTCATACTCTGTGGCCTGCCATCCGAAGATGAGATGTGCTGCCACGGCGAGGTGCCGGCAGAGCGCCGTCGACTCTCAGTCGGCATTGTCGAGAATGAGGAGGCTGCGGACGAGATCGCTCCTTGACACGCAATATCACAATACCGAGTCTAGCGTATTGCTGGCTTGACCCATGACAAGCCTTGTTTGTGTCTATCCATAGTCTGTCTGTCTGTACGTGTGTGTGTTTGTGTGTGTGTGTGTGTTTGCCATTGTGTGCACGTTTGTCTGACGTGCTACTCCTACTCTTGCTCTTTCTCTCACTCTTGCTGCCCTTGTGTTGCTGTTGCTGCTGATGCTGCTGCTGCTGTCGCTGCTTTGTCCCGTCACCACTGCCACTACTGCTGCTGCCACTACTACTACTACTACTCCTCCTCCTCCTCCTGCTGCTGCTGCTGCTGCTTCTTCTACTACTACTACTACCACTACTACTTGTACTTGTAATTACTTGTATGCCACTTTCAGCACGACGGAAGGGTCAGGAAACAAGGCCGAACCTGTGGGCCGTACAGCGTTACCAATCGCATGAGTCATCTTCCTGTTGGCACGGCGGCTACAGTTTGCAAGCAAGAGTAATATGTAAAGACGAAATACGGACACAGATGCAGAAACGTGATGATATATGATCTATGCTTATGTGCATACATGTATTTGCATGTAGGCCACCCGTGTCTGAAGCATGACTGGGGTGCTGCACCCATGGCTTGTTGGGCACCCCGATCTCAGGACATCAGAGAAGAGGACCGCCGTTGCTCACAAATGTCCTCCATGCCCACCAAGTAGCTCGGAAACCCTGCGGAAGCTGTAGCATTTTGCACTACTGCTCCCTGCGTATCGGCTGGGGAGCTTTCTTAGTACACACGCACACACAAGGCCTTAACTGGCAATGCGTGTCCACACATCAGGACCGGGGTCTGCTCTCCGCATTGGACAACGAGACGGTGCTCCAGTTGCCTGCGCCCTTGAACTGACACGGGGCCCGTGCGATTGCATGTTGTATTGCTTCGAGCTATCTTGGTGCTGTCAATGAAGGCTGGAAGGAAAAAATATCAAAGCCGGCCGCAGGATGAGCATAGGCGCATCCGTGTCCTTTGCATGCACTTCGTGAGTGCTGCAAGTCCGTCTCGAAAACTGTCTGGCTCCGCTATGCTACGATGTAACTTCAGCTGGCAAGAGCTGCTTTCAGGCACTGCCTTAGACGCTGGGCCCTCCTGGCACTTTAAACGACACTGAGGAGGCAAAGTGTTTTCTGATGCCATCGCTGGCATTATTAGCCACAGCCGAAGCACGGGGAGCAAGGTTGTGTAAACTGTCTATCCGCTCGCTGCAGGCTGTATCCTGCTGTCAGCAGTGTAGGCATTCGCTGCATTGGTGGTGCATGGCCAAGCTTTCGGAATGCCAGGAAGGAGGCTTTTGCAAACAAGGCCATCCAGCAACTCGGGGATGCCATTGAACCGGTGCGAGCCCCGAGGTCTTGACCTCTTCTCAGAGTCTGGCAGCTCCCAGTTTTGCATCGCTGCACCGAGGCCGCCGCACATTTAGGATACACCTGCGCTGGCCTTGGCCTTCTGCTCTGCCCGTGCAGCCAGAGCGTGCCCTTGAAGCATTTTGAGTGGAGCCAGCTGCAAACGCTTCCAAAAGCGTCCACAGGACTCATGCTTCCGCTTCGGTAGGCGATCCTGCTAAACCTACTAGACACACAAGCACCCCAAAAGCCCGAAACGCTAAAATCGTCGCGCGGGGAGACCGGAGCCATGGTTTCATGGCTCAGCCGGAGTTCCCGGAGCCACCGCCGGAGCCCTCGTCTCCTAGGCCAGGTTGCGTTTTGGGGCTCTCGGACTCTCGGAGCGTCTGCCGATGTCTGCCAGGCTGCGCAGGGATGCGAGCAGCTCCAAGCGACGCTTCTGCAGCTTGGCCGCAGCTCCCCGCCTCCCTTTTGGATGCATCTTGAGCTTCGGGCAGAAGGTCAACCTGGTGGAAGCATGTTTGTCGAAGCCTCCAAGTTGCTAGGCAACTACGGCGGATATGTGGGCGAGGCGCCTCTTCCTGCAAGTCCTTTTGTCGTAGTAGCGGTGTCTTTGTTCTGTAGAGGGCACAGTGTTTGCCGAGGAGTCCTTCAGGAAGAAGCGTTGCTACTTCTTCGACAGGTCGGGTTCTTCGATGCCTGCTATATCTGCTAAACCTAAGCACATGGCCGGAACCTGCTTTTTTTTTTTTGTGGCACTGTTCAAGCTTGCACGAGGGGCTGCTGCATCTACGGCGACTCATGCAGCTTCAAGCATAGCTCGCAAAGCGAGGCCAAGGCCGCGCCTCGTCTGAAGGTGCTAAGTACCATTTGGGTAGTTGTCTAAATTGGGGTCTCCTTTTAGGGTCCCTTTTATAGGGGTGCCGTGCTATGTAGGGGACCCAAAAAGGGACCCTAATCTAGGGAACTACCCGTTTAAGGAGCACTGCAACTCAGCAGCTCTTGGCTTGGAAGCAGCGCGTGACCTCCATTTCGCAGCTCAGGATTGCTGCAGCGCTGCAGCAGATGCTGGCGGATATCACAAGAAAAATCTGTGCTCGCTCTTCATGTTGCCAGGCCCACCTGCATTGCGTCAGATGCAGAAGACCCCAAAACGGTCCAAGGGTCTGGGATGATCTGGGAAGGTCATGCGTGAAGCAGTGGGCGGGGCTGAGTCGGACAGAGTGTCCTGTCAGAGTGTGTCGTAGAGCGGGGCCGCACAACTTCTGGTAGGAAGGTAGAGGAAGGGTGATCCGGCGCGGACTTCGGCCATGCAGCCTTTTGAGGCCTTGAGTGTCCGTTCACGAGTTCCTTCTGCTGGAATGCGCCTTGTCCTTTATGCTTGTCAAGTCCTTTGTAGCCTTGAAGTAGCATTGCACATGAGATCCCTGCAGCTCAGGCGCACGGCCCATCTGAGCTGCGACGACAACCACTCTGTCTGCCGCCGTTGGAGGGCATCAAACAGGGGACAGACCGGGGCCGGGGTTGGAAGGATAAGAAGAGATGGCTTTTGGTGGTTCTGGGTCGGCTGAAGCTTCGAGAGCTCTGGGCTTCGTGAGGACGCGGCTTCGCTGCATCAGCTCCGGTCTCAGCGCGGCAGATGCTTCCGAGGCGACTGGCCGCCGCCAGAGCCTTTCATGGGCTTCGCTTTAAAGTCAAAAATTCGTGACAGGTCTGGCGGTCCCTCTCCGAATGGGTCATCATTGGCCATGTCGGGGGCTGAGGACATGGGCAACGCCTCTTACACTTCCGCCGTCGTTATCCACCTCGGAGGTCAAGGTGCAGGATCTGGTTCTTGCGGATGGCATGCCTGCGCTTGTGGATGGCTACATGATGGTGCCCATACAGCCTGCAGGCGTGGGTCATGCGTCCAACCCGGTTTCTTTCCGAGTGTCACCGTTTAGGTGGAGTGTACATGGGCATTGCTCTAAAGCCCTTGTCTTCGGATTGACATTATTAACCGGGGCTTAAGATGCAAAGCAATGTGTTTGCGAAAGATTTGTTGCGATGGGTCCGCGCGAGGAAAGTCTTGTTTTTCTCACAAAGCCGCGAACGTTTTTGCGTAATAGACTTGGGGCATGTAAACCTACCAAGCAACATGCTATCGTTCTGCAGGCACACAGGCAAGGTGTTTCATGGCATCATGCCTCAGTACACCCCAAGCCAACGCTGCTGCTGCTGCTGCTGCTGCTGCTGCTGCTGCTGCTCCTGTTCCTCCTGGTCCTGCTCCCGCTCCGGCTCCTGCTGCTGCTGCTGCTGCTGCAACAACAACAACAACATTAACAACATTAACTACATTAACTACATTAAC